ATTTACACATAGGGGAGTTGGTGTTTGTGGGAGTGATCCCATGGTTCCCAGTGGTTATAAGCAAGAAAATGTGAGATTTCTCTCTTTCATCTATTAAGCACATTCTGTAAAAACTTCTCTGGAATCTACTGAAATCTGCAAAGAAAATATTTAATATGTAGTCCTTATTCAAATACTAGCTTTGTTATAAGACTAAGGAATTAGAACTAAGTTCTAAGCTTTTGTTATGAAACTAAGAACTGAATGAAATAATGAAAGCCCCTCAATGCAAGAATAAATAAGGAGATTGGGGTAAGCAGAATGTGTTCAGCAGCACGGGCTGTTTTTTTTTAGAGAGGTACACAAGTGTTATGCATCTCCCTCATCACTGAGAGCAGCAGGTCCCGATCAACAGCCAAGCAATGATCAAGGTTTTTTAATCTGATTTTTATATTAAAACTTCTTCCCTCCTTTTTTGTCTCAATACTGAAATTAAAGCAGAGGTCTGATCTTCCCTATCCTTCATGCTAAGGATTGGTAGTATCTTAGAATCATAGAATGTTTTGGGTTGGAAGGAACCTTTAGAGGTCATCTAGTCCAGTTCCCTTGTGGGAAAGGACAGCCAAATTTTTGGTAGGTATACAGGTCACCATTAAAAACTGTTAACACCAGTAGAAAGTTTGCCATGGTATGAGATGGCACAGTTACCAGCTACTTCACATAAAGGGAAATGTTGGGATGGTGATAGACCCTTTGTAAGGAGGTCTGAGCTTGCCACGCTTTGAGGTATCCCCTAATAGCTCCTGGGAAGCATGGCTTGACCTAGAAGACATCCCATGTGCAGAATGATTAGATGTCTGAGAGTCTACTCTGTCCAAATACATTGTAAAGGTAGTGACAGTGTCCTTCACAGGGAGAAAATATGAAAAGAGATAAGAGTAAACCATCCTGAGATGATAGACTGGGATAGCCATCCCACGCAAGGCAAGAACAAAGGAGGCATTTGACAGAACTGAGACTGAGTCAAAACCAAGGGATGGAAATGCCTTTTCATGCACTGTGTACTTAGACCACAGAATTCATTGCTTCAAGAAGTCATTCAGAGTAAATATTAGAAAGATCTGAAGGATCAGATCTATCTTATTGACAAAGCTTATCCAGTTATACTAATAGATAGTAAAAGGAAAATGTTGGCAGGGAGGTGAAATCTGATGCTTTGGGGCAAAGCTAACCTCTAATTAAGGATTAAAATGAGGTTTTCATGGGATGGGGAGATCATCTCACATCCAAATAACAGGGAGAAGTTTCTTATACTGTATTTGGAAGCATCTGGTTTTGAACAGCAGCTGGAAGAGTACGCAGGATTAAATCAACCGCTGATCTAAACAAGTTGCCAGTTCTTATGTTCCAAAGCAGTTTCCTCCTCTCCCTCTCACAAGTAAGTTGTAATCTGAAAAGTAACATACAAATTGAGTAGTAATATCCCTTTTTAACATTTAGAGAGTGAGTAGGTTAAGACAAGGATTTTCCAAACAGCTCCCTTGCACTGGTATCAGGGAGACTTTGGTGTCTGCCCAGCTTGAATGGCCTTGCTCAAGTCTAGAAAGGCAGCCTGTGGTAGAATTGAAAAACAGACTGAATTAATAAAGTCTGTAAAGAGATGATAAATACATAGGGAGAAGTACGGGGCAAGGTGGAAATTTTGCAGGATGCAATAATATTTTACCTTTAATCTCAAAATTTTACTGCAAAACGATGTTTGCCCATCTCTTGTAGCTCCTTTAACTGTGAGATGATGACTGGCTATTAGATCTATGGTTGCATTTTACTCTTCTTTTGTCTTCAGGTGGCAAACTCTTGTTCACTGGTCCAGGACCTGTAGAATTGCATGCTCATTACATTCTGATATCTGATGGAGGAGAGCTCCAGGTGGGATCTCCCGAGACCCCTTTCCGTCACAAAGCACACATCTATCTCTATGGAAGCCTCCACTCTCCACCATTATTTCCATACGGGGTCAAGTTCCTGGCAGTGAGGAATGGGACCCTTTCAATTCATGGTGAGTACATTTTATATTCTCTTCAAAAGCAAAGCACAAATGAATAAAAAAAAACCTAAAAGAAAGCAAAAAAAGCTTTTGGAGGAACAAACCAAAACCCAACAACTTTGGTCATGTACTTGGATTTCTAATTACAGTTAAGTATTTGTTGAAATCAGGTTCTGTGGCCAAAATTTCATAGCTTTGCTTTCACCATCAGTCTCCTGTTTGTATCTTATGCACCAAAGCTCAGTGCTGTATCTCCATAAAAGCTCCCATACTAGGAGCCAAGTCATTTTGAAAATCTGGACCCCGGGAAGCTAGATAGTATCAAGTGGTTACAAAATCCTGGAAGTCATTTAGGTGCCTAGAAGATGCTTAAATTTGTGCATGTCTGTCCACAAATGAAAGTCTCTGTCCCTTGGAAACAACCTCAGTCTCTGTTGTGAATCATGTGGGTTTGCTCTGCTACTAGGAAGGGGTATCCTTCTCCCTTCATGTCTCTCAGTAACAGCTGGCAAGTTTCCTCCCCAAAGAGAAGATGGCTTTGGGGGTTTCCAAGAGATGCTGGTCTTCCAGGTTGGTCCTATGATGAGGCCAGTGCCAAGCACAGGTTGCCGTCATAAATTATAAGTCCAGGGCTATGCAGAAAAACTGTGGAAATTACAAGGATTTCAGTCCTAGATGCCCGGTCCTCTGCTCTAACCACTGGACTTTTCCCTCAAAGGAAGGCCTGCAGTGCCAGAGCTTTATGTTCCTGCCAAGTGGAAGAGACAAGGGACCCAAGGGACAGAAAATGGATGTAGGTTTGCAGATGTTGTGGGGTAGAAGAATTTAGATACAGAGCTTTTTTTGGAAGGCTATGAGATACAGGTATAAAATGACCATTTCTTGGTACAGCAGATTGGATATCGAATTCAGGTCCAAACTCAGCTTGAATCAATGCACACATGTCACGCTCTTAACTAATGGCTGTTTTCAACAAAGGCAGTGTGTGTCATAGAGGAGAAAAAAAAAAAAATCCAACGCATCTGAACGCCTCATCTCCCTCCCTTATGTTCTTGTGTGTCAACCTTCATATTGGTAGGCTTTTGTATCCTCAAGCAGGGCTTGAACTTACACCCTCCTGGCCTACAGGCAGAAATGTCGCTATCTGAGCATCGCTGACACGTATGGCTCTCAGTCACAAATGATGTCAGACACCGAGGGGTACAATCTGAGCACAGACAGGGAGCGAGCTGTACCTCTGTGCAGTAATCCTGTCGGTTCACAGGAGCCGAGCAAGGTCAGGTGAGGCTGGCTGTTGGAGGGGAGCGGGTGAACAGACGCTTTTCTGAATCAGGAGAGGTCAGCGGAGGCTGGGGAAGGTGCTCCTGGCAGTGGCAAGGGGGGTGGGCTGCACTACTCCCGAAAATGCTTTTGACCACTTTGTCAACACACAGCAAGGCTAAATTATTTAGTGCTTGCAAGTGGCTTTAATAATTTCAGGAAACTGGCTTTTCATAAGGGCAGAGCATTTCTATCCCATTTCCTAGAGGGGCTCTATGAAGAAGCGCTGTTAGATCATCTGGGCTGAATTGACCGTCTGTTACTGGCCATTGAGTTTCACAGTTATCCTAGCCTTGAGTTCAGTAACTCGCGTTAGATTAAAGCATGCCTTCCAGAAAGGCTTGGTCTTTGAGGACATCAAGGGAAACGGAAGCCAGCATTTTCTGTAGAAGCTTGTTCCAGGGGATTAATTTGGTTAATCATCCATGTTTTTATTTTTTTTCTTTTTTAAGAAGAGTATTAAAATGTCTGATCTGAATTTGCCTGATAATAGCTTCTGCTGTTTCGCTTTCTGTATCTTCTCCTGCTACTTTAAAGTATCCTTCCATTCTCGGTTTGACCTGTATAAGTCAGGATTTTATCCTTAAGTTTTCAGAGCTTTGTAACAAGAGCTTTGTCTTCTTTGTGCTGCTATATTTTCTAGCAATGTAGGAAAACCCAGTAGTATCTCACATAGAATCGCAGAATCGCAGAATGGCAGGGGTTGGAAGGGACCTCCGGAGACCACCCAGTCCAACCGCCTGCTCAGGCAGGGTCACCCAGAGCAGGGAACACAGGACATCATCCACGCGGGTTGAACATCTCCAGAGAAGGGGAATCCACAGCCCCCCTGGGCAGCCTGTGCCAAGGCTCTGTCACCCTCAAAATAAACAAGTTCTTCCTCATATTCAACTGAAACATCTTCTGCTTCAGTTTGTGCCCATTGCTCCTTGTCCTGGCGCTAAACACCTCTGAGAAGAGTCTGGCTCCATCCTCATGACACCCACCCTTAAGATATTTGTATGTGTTGATGAGGTCCCCTTTCAGCCTTCTCTTCTTCAGGCTGAACAAGCCCAGCTCCCTCAGCCTTTCCTCGTAGGAGAGATGTTCCAGTCCCCTCATCATCTTTGTAGCCCTCCCCTGGACTCTCTCTAGGAGTTCCTCATCCTTCTTGAACTGGGGAGCCCAGAACTGGACACAGTACTCCAGGCTCATCTTGCAGCCGTGCCTCCTGTGCTGCTTCTCGCTCCCCTTCTGAGCCTGTATCTTCACTAGCTTGTTGACTTCATTCTCACAGACAATCCATGAAATTGCATAGACGAACAGGGCTGAAGTACTTTTTACAGCATTACTTTGGCAATATGACGGTGGGAAGTAAACCCAGGTATCCATGTCAGTAACCTTGAGGTGTTTCTCCCTGATACTTCTTACATTGTACTCAGTGCCGTAATTCCTAATGTTTCTTCATTCCTGAGGAAACCAAGAAGGTGAGGTCTGCAACCCAAGCATTACCTGTATCTCCAATACACGGAGCCAAAGGTGGCTTGGCCCATTAATGGAAACATCTCTTGGTTTCAATTTTTTTTATCAATTCTTATTCAAGAATTCTTATCAATTTAATATTCAAGAAATCCAGACTAGCTATGAAGTTGCTTTTAAGCTCTGCACTGCGTACAGTCCCAGTGCATGGCTGCAATTAAGGTTCATTAATACCATGTAATCCACAATTTAACGTAGAAGCCCGCCGGAAAAGAAGACCAAGAGGAGCGTGTTCTTTTGCTGGGTTCATATCGCTTACATGAAAACAGAAATATGCTGTTCTGTCTCCAATTTAGTACCAGTCTGGCCTGTGGTATAGAACAAATTGTTGAGCATGACAACCTCTTTCATACGAAAGAGACTGACATGCTCAGCAATATATGTTTGTGAGATACATATATATATACACTCCCATATATATGTTATCTCAGATCAAAATCATTAAATAGGCAGGCTTCCAAATTCTTAGCTGTCGTGGTGAAGACAGGCCTGAGCACATTTTAATTTCTTTTCTCTTTCAGACTGGGAACTTTGGGGGATGCTCTGCAGCCATGGTTGAGTTCAGATTGTTTAGTAAGCGCTGTCAGCTCCTCACTTTGATATGTTAATATGACTAAGGGTTTCCCACAATTCCCTCGTGAGTGGCAGTCCTTTGCTCCGGTGGTTGTAGCAGACTGGGAAATTTCACTGTTGCCTTTGGCTTTAGCCAACTCCCCTGCCAGTCAGAGCGTGCCACCCATAAACTGCCTGTCAATCACACGTCAGTTTTAAAGGGGGTTTCAGTCAGCCAGGGCAACTCGACTTTTTGACAATGTAATTATGGCCCTTGCATCCGCAGTAGGGGCCTGAGCAGGGCTGAGAGAATTTTATTGATTGTTCAGAAGGGAAATTTATCACTGTCTCCAGCTCCATTCGCACTTTATTCCCTGAGAAACTCCCCTGACAAGCTTCGGGAGAGAAGTTGAGCATGGTGGCCTTGGCTGTTCTTGCGCCTTTGTCCTTCCCAGGGAAACTGGACCGGAGACACCAGCGGATGCTGAGTTCAGGGCAAGGACCGTGTGAGGAGGCAGCCTAAGTGGAGATGCTGCACCAGCAGCTGGGGACACCCACCTTTTCTTTGAGATAGCCTGATTTCATGGTCCCAACACTTCTATTACCATGGATGGAAAAATTCTAAAGGCTTTTTCCATTCTGTTCCATTTTTAGCAGTCCTCTGTAGATGAGGTCATTATTCCGCGGTGTCCCCTCAAAACAGGCTGTGCCTCTTCCAAAAAGAAAACCAGTGTTTTTGCTGGGTATTTAGCTGAAACTTTGTCAGTTCCAGCTTTGTGATGCTACGGGGCATGAACATGCGAGCCTGTTCCCTGCATTTTGACTAATAATGTGTACCTCCCCAACTAGATGGAAGATGCTATGCTTCAGATTTAACACGCTACACTCACTTTGTCCGGATGGTGTGGTAAAGAAAAAAAACAATGTCCACAGAGCTTTGGATTAATACTGTACCTATTTATAATCTGCATAATTAAACCAGAATTGTCAGTGGTCATTTCAGCCCCCTAAAGTCACGGATAGTCCTGCTGCAAAGAATGCCCCCGCACTTCCAATAGATGCTGACAGTGGAGGATGACATTATAGAGGCAATTCCTATATCCCAGAATTCCCTGCAACCAAAACAATCTTATACATTTTCAGTGTTGGCTCAGGAAAAAAAAAGTATTTTTTTTATCAGTTGAACCAATTATTAATTTTAATCACTTTTAATCAATAATAAAACACACAAATATTTGTGAGCTGTACACTGTGCTCTGTGGAGCCCACTCCGTTCCTCAAGAGATCAAACATTTAATCAAATGCTTCTTGCTTTTCCTCTATTAAGCAGTGTTGTGTATCTGTGCTGAGTCTGAGATTAAGAGATCATAGACAATATGAGAGAATTTGTTCTGCTTTACTCACATATTAAAAAGAAAAACTTCCCAGGGGAAAAAAAAAAAAAAAAGGAAAAAAATGTACAGCAGGGGGACTCAAGATAGGGTGCAGAGATCTGCTGGCACTAAGATGTGATTTTCTTATCTTATTGAGATGTTTGTCCATTCAATACATGTTATCTCCCACCAACTGAAGCCATTGACTTGAGCACCCCTGTGCCACCATGAGTTCAGATCCCTTTTCCC